TGTCTGTATCTTTATGAGGGTCAGGATTACAGGTCACATTTGTTACAAATTGGAAAGAAAGACCGATAGAGGATGGTTTAAAGGTCGTTCGGCACAAATGTCGTCGGCGTTCGATGTGTATAAATCAGTGGAGGGTGAGAAACGGACCATTTGTGTTTTATGATGTTATGCAACCGTAGAACGTGGATATATTTGTGTGAAATATAGATTTGATGATGAAAAAGTATTGTGCTAGAAGAAAATAGGTAAACAATTTTATATCGTACCAAAATAAATGTTCTGTTGTTTTAGTTCATAATAAATAACGTAGCAAAATCCAAAACACAAGCAATAACAATTCTAGTTTATTTATTGACAAAACCAAAAGAAAACGTTACGCAATACTTTCTAGAGACGAAAAATGCCCCTATTCTACAATTCAAGTAGCGATGCGTCAGTAGCACAACAAACAGTGAATAAACAATTCATAGACGAAAATATTCACGAATAAACATCGGAGGGAATATTTTGAGGAATTCTACGAAGCTTATTACAATAGAGGGTGAACAAACGCTGGCAATGGCTGGCATCGTTTGAATACCGCCAACATTCCGCCCCGTTGTTGACACGAATAATTTATTAAAATCGACTCTTGGAATATGAAATATTCCTTTTGATTAAACACCAGTTAGATGAGCAAACATGCGTTAACTGGGTTGTGACACACATGTGTGTTTACGTCAGCAGGCCACGATTGTTATTCGGAAAGTATTGCCTGAGGTAATTTAAACGTTACTTTACCCCACACTGGGGCTTTCATCTTGAGTGAGTCAATACTCAAGATGAAAGCCCCAGTGCCGTAAGCCGTAAGCCCATTCCAGAACCGTACGACTGCGCTGCAGAATTTTGTCTAACTATAATTCTGCACCCTAAATGTGTTCTAATGTGAGAAATTTTGTGGCAATCACACCAAATGAACTAAGGATACCAAAACGTAATAAACTTCCACATCAGTCAACGAGCCGACAGCATCACATTCATCCAACGAACACGGCAGTTATCTTCAAATGGAAAGATAACAAAGGATACGTTAATTAAGGCTGGCCTTGACTGATAAATTACAAGCGTGTTCCTTCAGCCTGTCTGCCCGAGGGCTGAGAGAATCTGTACCGAGCCGTATTCATCTCATAACAATCTGAGATACAACTATACCATTAGAGATATCTCTTATCACAGCTAGACAATTACGTTACATGCCGTTTGTGATTTGTTTCAAGATTAATTGATTACACATTCGGTTTACGTTCATTAAGACGTTAAGAATCGTTCACCGGGTCACATTCATGATGAGAGACTTGAAGAATTTATCTGTACTTAACTTAGTACGTCTTTCTCTTCAAGTCTGCACATTGGGGAAAATAAATACATATGGGCATATGACATTTTGCCAGAAATGAGAGCAGAAAAGGAGTGCTGCACTGTATTTATTTAGTCGTCGTTTTATTCTCGACGAATGATAATCCATGCCTTTCAAAGCGATACAAAATTGAAACTACTAAACTTATGACACGAGTGACACGGCCATCCTGAATATGTTTGCTAGCCTGGTGAGGCTCAGCTGTCCTGTCCTGAGGCAATTTGTCGGCCTTCCACTAACGTGGTCCGAAACAGCCCTTGACCGAGTTTCCTAGACAAAATACTCGGTTAAGGTTGTTACTCGTCGCTTAGTCCAGTTAAATGGTTTAACTGTAGTCTGAAAACTAAATAGCGGTTCGCTTTTTCGGGAAATTGGATAAGTTTTAGAAAGGTCGTGTGTTTGAACAATGTATTGACTACATATTTGGATGTTGTTTAATAGATTCGTCTCACTAATCGATTGAAATAGGAACGTGAAGATTTTTATTTAATTTCCTGATGAGCTTAAAGATTTTGACATTATCATCAGTCTTTTTATGAGTTAGGGAGCAAACGAGTTGTCGAATCACCTGATGGTAAGCGATTAGCGCCACCCATGAACACCCACAACACCAGAAGAATCACAAATGCGTTGCCGGCCTTAAATTAGTATGAGCGATTCATGGTACGAAACTAGTGTCGAAGTCATGCTACTCTGCGAAATATTAAAGTATTATATAACATTTTTCATCTTTTCACCCGGTTAAAGTGTATGAAAGTAGTCAATTTTCTCTTTTATGAGCCCCGATATAAAGCCAATAAAGTGAAAGATAAAACAAGTGTAGCTTCAAGTCCCTCAAGCTTGTTACCTTTTGATATTTTATACTGTAGCAAATGAAACAATCACATGTGTGTCAGTTTTCTTTCTGTTATTGAAATGTGATACCAGTACCTTCTTTTAGTTGTATAACAAAACACCATAAAGTGACAACCTACAATAAAACTTTTTACAACACGAAGAGTCAATGTCAAAATCAAAGCATTTATTTCAAGTAAGCCCTAATTTGATACTTTTAAAACGTCAAAAAATACAAAACAAATAATAGTCGGTCAGTCCGTCAATGAAGCTAGGTAGTACCTACTCTTAAATCAATTATAATTAGATGTTTCACAAAAATTCTACACCAATGACCCGTCATAACATGAAACGTACTCGTCCAGTACTCGAACCCGCGCCTGTCCTTGTTCAAGGTAAAATACATAATTGGATATTAATTAATTGTGGGTCATAAATCACAGGTCGCTAATTGATTGATCGTGTGATCGAGCTTCGCTGTGTACCTACTGAGCTTATGTTATTGATACACGCAATGTATGATGTATGTGTGTGTGTTTGTTACTCTTTCACGGCAGAACGACTGAAGGGATCGAGATGAAATTTGGAACAGAGGTAGATTATGGTCTGGAATAAAACATACGCTACTTTTTATCGCACGGAAACGCGGGTGAAGTCGCTAGCAGAAGCTAGTATTATCTAAGGTTCACAAAGTGTATATGAGTTCAACGATAAATGCAGAGGTTCCCAAAGTACGCACAAGTTAGAAAACTGGAAAAGCTTCTTTACAAAGAAGAAGGAAGAGCTATTTTAAAATGTATCTAACTCGCACTTTTTACCAGCTATGTACCTTCTTTGCAGTGAAGACGATCGACGCAGAAACTAAGAACTCATAATTCCGATAAACTATTGTGAACTTTGAGAATTGAAATTTACGAAAACTACATAGCAAAAAAATATTCGGTTACACACCCAATAAAATTCAACAACACCCAGCCAAACCAACAAGAGCACGTTTAAAGCACTCCAGCAATAAATAGATCCTTTGTGTCAAGTACCTCATTACAGTGGGGAACTCAACGCATCGGAAGCATTCGTATTTTCTTCATAGTGAGGGTTCCAAGAGGACTAAGAATAGACCTCCCACGCAGATGAATGAGATAACATACAGACAATACAGAAATAATGGAATCGAGATGTTCTGTTATGATCATTGTCCAGTTAAGCAGGTTGGATTATGACGTATTAAATTTTTGCTGAACTGTAACGATCGCATTTTCATAATTGGGATGATGACAGGGTATGAAAATTAAATATCTAATTAGTCCGTAAGTTAGGTAATGAAAAAACATTAAACAAGTATTTTTTATTTTGTCGTGTAATAAAACAATACTGAGATAAAACGAATCAAAGTTTAGGAGTGGGGGCTAAAACGTCATTTCTACGTATAAAACGTACATAGAAGTGACGTCACGTGTCATTTCAAATCAATATATCGTCGAAAGTATTCGTTTCTGTAAGAAAAAATACGTGTCTGTTGAAATAATGTACCAGACGGACATTAAAATAAAAATTAGGCACCTACCCTATTGAGAATGAGATCGTATTTGCATGCAACACAATACTCCATACTCGCAAAACAATATAAGTTTTCTCCTCATTTTTTTCAGAAAAAACTGTGTTTAAAAAAACCGAATACAAAAAGTAAAATCAAACGAAAAGTAAAAACTAAAAAGCAAACATCACCATGTTTGGTCATACGTCTTATAGGTTCCACACTGTTAGGTAAGAAATCGGTGGAATAATCGTGTAAAATACACAAAAAAGCAACATACAGCCGAATTGATAACCTCCTTCTACTTGGGAAGCCGGTTAATAAAATAGAAGAAAATTTCATGAGCAACGTTTTAAATTAGATGCCACTAAACAGAAGTGAAGTAAAATCTTCTCTAAATCCAAAAATATTCAGAGGCTTATCATGTAACAACCTAACAACTCGGCCTAAATATACTAAGAGCAAAAACGTAACACATGCGGTACTTTATACCGAGTTTGCGTGTAAGTAACCGGCGCGCACGTCATAAATATTCATTATCCTTTAAACCAAGTTAACCCTACGTACGACAGGGTGCTTAGTATTTATGAGGACGTTTTGACCTTCCCACTACGTCCTTGAACATATAAATATGTTATTTTTGTCTGTAAAAAGGCTTTCGTACATAGTAATGTTAGCAAAATATGGCTCAAAGAATTACACTTTGTAAAAGTTATACATAATTTATTTTGTATAAAGCATAAGCTTTTTAGACAATGAAAAAAGGAGCACAAAAGAAAAATGTTTGGTAACGTTAGGGTCGTCAGTGAAGGACGATCAGTCATTTCCGATTCCATGAAAATAATACCATCAAAGCCTTTGTGCGGACAAAATTGACGACGATTTGAAAGCAGTCATATAATTGACTGTAGAATTATCCATCTTTTATAGACTATACCTTAGCAATTTAAATTATTAATGCATAACTGTATCATGGACGAAGCAAACAGCTTCATGTCTAAGTGAATGACCTGTACGTGCTTGGTAATTTATAGATCATTAACCATTTTCAAAGTAAACAAGTTGACGACTTGCATGTACCAGGTCCTCCAATATGCCATTAGATACCTCCCTAAGTCACCCACAAAGACACACATTCACCTCCTAAAAAAGAGCTTACCTAATATTTCACAAACAACTCTTCAGAAAGTCTTATAAAACAATAATTAGTCTTTAAACCACGTTTAATCCACTGACCTGGTTCTGAGTGCGTCCTGCTCTCGGAGGTGAGCATAGGGGACAATGGTTCGGTTCCCCGAGAGAGTATTCGCCGGAGCTCCCGGTTTTCGGTGGCTGCACCTTGCTTCCACGGATTCAGTGAGGTCACTCCATCATTGTACACCTCCTTCATGAACACGTCGATCAGCTCCTTGCCTGGTAGTGTACAAAGAGAATGTATTGGACTGTTTTTTTCTGGACTTTTTTGCTACTGGAGACTAAAAAGGAAGTGTATGTTTATCTCTTTGTGGTAAACTCTCTCTCTCTTGATCTTTTATCAATAATCACTTTTGCTTAGCTTCCTTTTTGTTGATATATACCAAATGTATATTCAGAAACCTTTTGCCAATAACCATACTTAATTTCGTAATACTTTAATAGGGTATTCCAATTTCATTTTGTTATCGAATCCTTCTACCTTTGTTCATCGTGGATGCGAATGTGATTCATAGAATAATAGGATGTTTAAAGTTTCGCGTTTTAAAAGGTTGGGCCTTAAAACTTTTACCTCAACATACTGGTTTTCGAAAAGCTTTACAAGTACAATAACCCATTAGTCCTAATAGAACTCTCAAAAAGTAACAACTAATACAAACTTTTTACTATTTATTATCTGGAAACAAGTGTAAACCTCTTACCCTTAGCAACATTAGCAGCGTACTGCTTCATGGCAATCTTCTCGACAGTGCTCTCGAGTCCGAAGAAGTTCTTGACGTCGAGGAGTGCACTCTGCTCGAAGCACGTCCACTCAGGGTTATCGGGGTGGACCTGAGACAATAACACGAGAGTAATTAATTAAAATGTTTATAATACTTTTGTGATGTCATCAAAAACTGAAGCTCCCTTTATCGTCGTGGAGGTTAAACATTTTAGGTATATTTTTTATTGTCAGGTAAAATGTGTCTGGTTTTTTTAAGGGGGGAAATTTATCGAATGACTGCTCCCGCCTGGGAGAGGCGGGAGGGACTGTCAAACTCTTACTGACTAAAAACCACCCCGTTCCTTCTCCTGCACGTCGAGCCGGAGCCCCGGTAACCCGTTAGGTTCTTTACGACAAGTTGGTCTGGTTATTTTGTTGTTATGTTTTATTAATTCAGTGTTGCCCTAAAAAAGTTTCTATGGGTGATACATCGCCATACTATAGTAATAAGATATATACTGTCTCAGGAGTTGCTCACATTTTGACATGCAACTTTTTTAATTACTAGAACAGCAACAATGTTCTTCAGGAATCGCGAGTGATAACTTCAAATAGACTAATTAAAAGAACGCTCACTAAAGCAGGAAACCGTAGGTGTTGGAAACTGAGAATAAATATAAATAAAATGACAAAGTAAACTTGATGCGGGAATATCTGAGACTTATTTTTAGTTACAACCCTCAGATATAACCAGAACAGGTACAAAAGATAATATTCCTTATTCTATATTATTTCTATTGAATTCTTTGGAAAGTACCACGATGAGTTACCACGATGTTGATATTTCCACGAATATCCTATCACTGTTTACTGAGAAAAGTCTAAATAAAACCTATAGTGTGAAAATCTTATTCTTAGAACACTGCATTACATTTTGTGTAATTAAAATGCCTTAGGGTGTCCACGACCGTATGGTGCCTATGGTTTAAATGTCTAAATAGTATTATGGTTGTAAAAGTGGCTCTTTAGAATGATCTCTTGTTTTGATGAGGCATGCAAAATATTATTAGCTTGGCAATATAGAAATTCTTTCACGATGCCTTTATTTGTATTCCACGTTCGAATGTGCTCCCACTCCTATTACATACTTGGAACGAATGATATGACGATAAGGGGAAAGTACACCACCATCTAACACAATAATGATAAAAAAAACAAATATTGAGGAAACCTGAAATTAATAAGTTCAGCCAAATTTTTTTTTTATGTAAGAAGAAGTAGTGCCCATGAGTAGAGCAGTTACAGGCAGATATTTAGACATCTTTACATTCACTTCAAACTGTTACAGACATTTGCATTATCTTTAAACCTTAAAGGCAAGTAAGAAAGCAACCATGTTACTATGTTACGATTCAATCACATATATGGAAGGCGCTCTGCAGCTTCGAATACACCTGAGAAATAATTCCACGTCGCAACACGTGTAGTAACACAAACATTTTGAAACGGTTATGGTCCGGTGCCTATAAAACGTATCGTAGCCGCTGGCTTTATGCAAATATCATTTTGCAAGCTTTACATATACACATTTGTTGCTTATGCTCTGAAGGCTTATTTTCGCATAAGCTTCTTAATATCTTGTTTTGATCTTCAAAGTGGTTGGTTACGAAGAGCTGAACATCGAAATAACTGATGTGCATATCTGTTATAATGATGATCATTTAACTTGTTTATTAATTCATTATTCTTAATGTCGTTTGGTGGTGTTAAATGGTATCTTGGTCATATCATTCATTTCAAACTAAATTAAACGACAATGGCTTCAATTTATCTCAATCGCTTTACTATCGATGCCCCGTCCAACAATAACACCATGTCGTATAAGTAGTTGTTTTTAATACTCCCTCGGGTCCTCTAAGCGTTTAACCTTTTTCCGATAAAACTGAACTACTTGAAAACCAAGCAATTTCTTTCTACTACCGTTTAAGTATAATTAAAAATTCTTAACTATTTTATAACTGTTGGATATAGTATTTAAAAGATGCCCTACAGGCAAAGCTAACATACCTGTGTTTAATAGCAGCCATATACAAAATGTACATATTTTATAGCTCAGCATCTTCTGACATTTAATCTAAGCTGACCTTGCCAACGGGTTTAACCGCAGAGACCTAATCAGAATCTCATACCAACATATCTGCACTTTTTATATGATGTTCTTACCATGTAGGTTTTAATTTTATTTTTTATATATGGTTTTATGTATATTATCTCTTCATGTTAGGTTTAATTAAATATTTTACATTAACCTAACAAAAACGCAGTTGGAATTTATAGAGGTATTAATTAATTAAATATATTTAACTACGATAAGTAAAAGACAAATAAAACTCGGTCATCATGGACATGAAACATAAAACGGCATCAATTAATTTTACGATCATACTGGTTATTAGAAGATTGCTGTTTGTGGACGTGACCTGAATCCTGCAAGATGAGTTAAACGGAGAACGACCAATGGAGCTATAACCACCTTAACGAGGAGCCGATAATAAAGTAATGGACCATTTCGATGCTGAAGACAACGACAAAAATATTATTGTTGACTTGTAAGGTGACAAAGAAAAACATAATGTTACCAAAGGAGACAAAGACACCACTATAGTTAGATCCATGTAACAAAGCGAATTACTTTCACCCTCCACGGTCACAGTTGAACAGACACAGTTCACAATAACTGGACCTTCGTGAATGCCTGATAGAATACTTCCCGTCTCGTGAATGGATCAAGTAGATACAAAGTAGGTGATCAAAGACAGCTCAGGGACGGATTTATACACCTTTGTTATAATATGATTGTAGATGAAAGGAAATCGCCCATCGTGGTTAGCTTGGGACATGAGAAAGGATTAAACGTGTTTGATAGATGGATTTGTACATAGTTAAACCTAATATATATAGTGATAGATACAATATACTCAAAAATGAAAGAATAGATCGAGAAAAGAGGATTAGGTAAGTTAACGTAGAGGAAAATAGAAATCAATGCAGGAAAAATTTTTTCGTGTGAATCGGAAGCCTAAAGGCAAATCATGTTGTAAAATAATATTATGATAGCGATAACTTTTATAATTGCCTGTTGTGACAATAACTTATTCATTCATAAAATAATGATGATAATTATCTTTATCATGTACCTACACGATAAGTTACTACAAACAACGTTTTGTAAAAGATTTGCAATTACGTAATCTTGATTTTGTGAAGGAATTTTCGACAAATAGATATTGTTTACCCTAAATAATTACTTTTACCGTACCTGGAACTTAACAAACTCATCCAAAAATATAATTAGAAGAAATCCACAAAATCTGGGATTAAACAGAATTTTGCAGTGACTCAATGTTAATCTCAATCCAATTGGATAAAAGCCAGGAGAAAGAAAATTTATCAGAAGACAAATTATTTTTATAGTAACAATTTTGTAAATGAACGAATGAACCGAATTCGCCTACATAAAGATAATTTTTCTCAAATTATACGCGTACCACTACCATAAATATGCTAGACAAAGCACAAACACAATTGTGTAATCTCCTTGCTCCATATTTTCCATTTTTCTCACTTAGCAGACACTTGTTTATCCATAGACTAGACATGATACGATGTGACACAAGCAATTTCACACCCTTCCGTTCCCACAATATGAGTGCACCGATAAAAACCTAACCAATGACCTTGATAACGTCCTTGTAAATGCTAACGTTATACCTACGTCCCTGGCTAAGTTAGAACAAGGAAGATCAATACGAATATGAACTTAATTAAGACAGCGTAAAGTGCTCTTTCGTGTTCTATAGCTAAGAGCATGCAATCCGTTATATCAATTATAGGAGGTTGTGCGAAAATACTCTTTGTTATAAAGAGGATGGGTGTAATTTCGTTTGTACCAGTGTCGGGTCTATGCAATGCATGGAAGTATAAATTATGTGCGTTGGTAATGCGTTTCCCTTGTAATGAGGGATGCGAGTTAGCTGCTGGACTAGCAAAAGTAGGTTACATTAAAATTCCAGTCAGTTCAGTATCTTTAAATAATCGTACATGCACAAATGGTACTTTCTAATAGCTACAAATATAATAAGAGCAAAAATCAAACAGCCAACATTTACAAAGTGAACCTTGTTTCATATTCGTATGAGAACGTAAATTAACTTTGACATTGGCGTCTCATGAATATTCAAAAATAAATTAAAGCAATAACAAACAACTAATGGACAGGGTTTTAAAATAAATAAATAAAAATTGCCAATTTACATATTAATGCAACAGCTGCCATTTTAAGATCATAAAGGTTTTATACGGCGAAAAATTGTATCAGGTACCAGGTTTTAAAGAGCTAAAATAACCATTTGCTTGGTATTGTTGAAAACCGGATTGCGTCGGCGACAAGTTTTCGTTAACCACCTGCTGTTGTCAGCAACCTGACAGTTTTTGTCAATGTCTCCGACCATTGAGAGGTGGTTCGCAAATGCTGAACTGTATTTTGTAGGAAAATGTGGAAGTTGACAGTGAATTTTTGCTGACGAGTGCCTAATTGGCATTTTGACGTCCCCAACCAGTAGGAGGTGTTTTTGAACCAGCAATCTCTGCTTTTACATTGAAATTTTTTTTCCTCTGGCTCATCCCTATTCAAAGCTAGTTTTAAAAAACTTAGCTTTTTACTACTTAACATTATATCAAAGTGTGTCGATGGTTAATTATGTGGTTATACACAGGAGCAGTGCACTCGTAACCACTTGCACAGCCGGCTGGAGGACCCTATCAGTGCAGAATGTGGCTCATAATCCTAAGACCAGTCCACCCCACATATTAGCAATTTCATCGCGTGCACTTTCCACCGTTGCGTCATTCAAGATATTATCGGTTGAATTGTTCACGTTTCCTCCAGTTACCCGCACCTTCCTTCGTGCTGCAACTGCGCAGTATTTGTTATTAAATAAATTGCCCAAAAATTGGCAGCTTCCCTCAATTTGCCAACGAATACCATTCAATTATCCGAGTCCGGAATGTTCTGATTGAAATATCATGTTCGTTCTAAAGCGAGATCAAGTGCAGAATTGTGAAATAGGCAAGTTTATACAGCACTTTGAGTTTCTTATTTGCTCAAAACTTCTTGTCCAAAGTCATTCCTGGTTAGTACTTAATAAATATTAAGAAATAGCTGAATCGGATATTTTTACATAGAAGTTATAAAAAAATTAGTAACGCATTTTACTTCGCCAATTTCTATCACGAATACTGGAACTAATCTTCGATTCGATACTCTTGTATTATTCTCAAAAACAGGACTTGAATTTCTAAATTAAACTTCTATAAGTTAATGTAAACAGCGAGCAGTTTTCAACAATAACATTTTAGCCAGACATCTGGCCGAATACAATTCAAACTAGAGAAATCAATGAAAGACTAACAATATTAGCATAAAATATTTAACACAGCTAACAATATGGATAGCTTGCTAATTGAAATGCTTTCCGTTCATAGAAACATCCGCCTAACACCCTTGAACAGTTGCAGTGTCGGTAATTATCTGCAATTATCAGCTTGATGAACTACAAACCATTACAATACAGAGGAAATGTATTTTATCCTTATTCTCTTTAAAAAAAACACGCCAAGTCGAGTCCATGTTAATAAACAAGGGTATTTTGCAATTACATTAAAAAAGATAAGTAACGGCTCCTGTTGAAACAATAAGAATATTTTAACCTGGCCTTTAAACACCAGTTTCCATAACCCGAATGGTAGCACAAATGTACAAAAAACAATTACCTTTTTCGGGGAAATTCGTCAGACCCTCATCAAAGAAACAAGACTAGATGTATACAGAATAAGTGAGTTTGCCGTAAAAAGGTTTTTTAATAAATAATATTTAGATAGCAACCCGAAAATAATTGGAAGTACCTTGAAACATAATACTCCGGTCACTACACTGCTCTCCGGCTTTTCAGAAAAGCTATTGACATTTTGCTTTTAAGCCGCCGCCGGAGAGAAAAATGAAGCTTCGAACAAATAAGATTAGATGACACTCGTGGATGTATCAAACATTAACGAGTTTCTTGATTTAAAGAATACTCACATAATATTTGCATTTCTCCACAACTCCGACTCTGGCAGCGAAGGTTTCGTTTGTAGCTTCTATTTCCAAAACCCTTTTCTTGAGGTCCAGGCTGTTCTTCTGGATAAAGAAGATATAATCTACACCGATCATCTGGAACAAGCAAATTATGATATTTAGTTTGATACATTTCATGATTTCTTATTCGTTTTTAATAATGGACATTGATGAAATGTTGTAATGTGTAAAGAAATATACCTTTTTTAGGAGGTAAGGAGCTTCAACATTCAGCTGGCACCGCCTGGTCGTGTGTCGCTGAGAGTCGTCTGCTGACCAGCTGTCGTCTGTGATGACGCACTCTACCACCACTGGGATCTGAGGACAGCTTGGAAACCGCCTCTCGTATGCCTGTAACAAAGATAAAGAATTGTTATAGAGAGTGATCATCACAGTATAATTAAATTAGGCTATAAATTCAATCCTCAGAAACGTTCTCGCTTAAATTATACCTCTAGAAATCCAACCTAGTATCATTAATTACCGTCTTAAAAACCTACTTTGTGTTCGTGCCCATTTCTAGCGCGATAACTATCAAAGCACTCGTTTTCGTGTCCAAATTCCTAATTCAGAGCTTAGAATTTACTAGTGACCCAAAATGAAGTTCGAGTATTAACACACTTACTGCTAAAATAATTTAGACAGGTCGAACTTCCGACAAATTATAATGGACGTAAAACAACGTAGGACGGACCTAATGGGTCATGAAAAGGTCCCTGCGAAAATTCTCGAACGTCGAAATCGACAAAGTTTGGTAGCATCAATCAAATTACGAATGTATGTTTATGAACGGTTCACGCTGAAGGACCGATGGAAATTTCTACTTCAAACTTTGGGACGAAAAGAAATCCGAGTCTTATTTTCGGATAATTTATTTTCGTTTCTGAATAATGTTTTGTTTCCTCAGGATTTCTAATAAAACATAATATTACAATTATGATTAATAATAACGAGACAGACGCGAAGGCAACGAATTATTTATTAACAGAATCTGAATAAGTAATGTGATAATTTCCAATTTAACTGTTATAATTGAAAGCAATTCTTAGAAATACGTAATATAAGCAGATTCGTTGTATTATAAAAGAAATTTTGAAGAAAAACTAATTAGAGTAATTATAGAAGAATACTTTTAATTAGTAGTTACGTCTTTTGAAACTTATACCTCTACAATAGTAATGTAGTTGGGTTTATTTATATCTAGGATTTAGGATGTGACCTGTGTCTGATCACGTTGTACAACATGACGTGTGGAAGGAGGCACGTGTCAAAACATTCTAAAATTTCAGAGTTCGGAGTGTTATTGAATCAGTGTAACGTGTTCCGATTCAAGGTTTATCCGTAATCAGTTTTTCGCCGAATCCTTTCAATACAAAACTTTCTCTCTGGAACATGTTTTCACAAAACTCGTAGTATAAGCATTATCTGTGAACCGTTCGGGCGAGAAACTGGGATCCACAAGGGACTATATTTGGTCCAATTTTTTTCGGTATTTTAGCTTTTTTTTTTCAATCAATCTCGCTTCATTCATAATAAATTTTACCGGTGTGACGTCAATAATGTACCTTTGTTTAATTTTAACGATCTATTGTGGCACTTTGCAAGCGATTAATGATTATTTCTTCACAACAATAACAGCTCACTCATGTTTTAAGTTACCATAGGTACGCGTTTTATGACCTATGGACGTTTTGACTATTTTCTCACGTGGAAATACAAATTAGACGCGGTGAAATGAAGTGAAACCATAGCTTTATAACTTTATACGACTGTGGTTATTTTTTTAATGGGACAAGCCCGCCACAACCTCCCTAAACCGCTGCAACTCCTGTAAGCCAGGATCTACAGTAGATACAACCATGAAAACACCAGAACACTGAAGTCCGGCGCGTCCCAGGGACATGAGTAACTGTCTTGGTTCCCGCAACGAAGTGAATCAGAAGATATTATAAGAGGAGAAGAAGAAAAAACTATGGTTTTCACTTCCCTCGGTGAATTACTGCAGGAGACAGAATGAATTAAGCCTAAAAGCACAAAGAAGAGACTGTACAGCTGGGTGAAGCCCAGTCGCCAAGCACCACGGAAATTTGACTAAAAACTAAGTGGGTCCAATGTGTGAGCTGTTATACTTGCTTCCAATAATAGGTATGGCAAAAACGACTGTGGTTAGTTTAATGGTTGTAGAAGTTAGGAATAATTCCACCGTAATGCTTTATTAAGTTTTATGTTTCACTTTCTATCGATTTTTATCGACACCAAGTGACTAGTATGTGACATACATTCATAGGTAGACAATAGCATTTGTAGTTTGCCTTAATGGTGTGTATTGTTTGTACCTATACCCTTCCTAATAAATCTAACTACCTACTATCTATAGCAGTTGGACTGATTAGTATTCATATGACGAACCAGTTTCGAATCAATACCTAAACCTAAGTTTTCATTGACATAAATATGTATTTGCGACAAACTTAGGCTATTTCCCCACAGATTCAATTTGTTGTATCCTTGAATTCTGTGATATTGGAACGTTGGTATTTACACGTGTCTTGGAATATATTTTATTTATACATTGGTTCTTACATTTTAATATTTTATTCAATATAATGGTGTACACGAGGTTCGGTTTCGATACGTCAATCTATTGAATACCGAACGTTGCTTTCTTCGATGTAACCATGATATAATGAAAATTAATTATCCGGAAAACTTCTCAAACTCATAACTTACTTTTGTTAGTACACGGGATTATTTAATTTCTTTAGACGTTATCAAATAAATAACGAATGTGAAATGAGATATGTTAAAGAAACAGGTCTAATTTAAACTTTATTATTGAGAGAGAGATTAATTAATGAAAATCATGTTATTCATCGTCCCTGTACAAATAAATGTACGTTCACCAATAAAAGTAACAATCATACCCTCCCTTTGGCTTCACGGTAGTCGAATAAAAAGCACCTTACAACCAAACAAGGAGACGTTTATCCGCAATCCTTACGACCCTTAACTACATCTCCCCACTATTCGTAAAAGCCACGTCAGGTAACATGTATCGAGGAGTTCAGAGCAATTGAGAACGACTCGCTATTGATCCCAGAGGGTTCGTGAAACGTGTTCAAAAAGCTAAAGAGGTATGAGTACGGAGGGTGAAACTAGAATAGTACATTTTGTAAAGGCGACAAATCTTCCTGCATTTTCCAAAGCCACTTCAATTGAATAGCACACTAGAAGGATATTTGCCTTTTAACTCGTCGAGTACCGGTTTTGCAGACACAATTATAGAACAATAGGTTGCGGTCACCGGTGACCGCTTGGTGTTTGAGTTAAAGAGAGAGTGGAGATGGTTACACAGGTGCTAAATTATCTCTCATAATAAGTTAATTTCCTCAATCTAGATAAGATTCCGATAATAAAAGAGGTAACGTCAACAAAAAACAAACCTCCGTCAAAAAAGCAATCATTTGACCATAGTACCTCCTCCTTTTTTGAAGACGGTAACAATAGACCACGATACAAGAAGAAATAAAACTAAAAAAATATTTTAACTTATTACAAACAAACCTTTACGTTCTACGCAAACCCTTAGAAGCAATCTCCACAACTTAAATGTAGGTACCTAACGCTCTTCATAATATTTTGTCGTGATCCCGAACAAGTTTCGATCACTTAACTCAATTTGATCCAAGGCCAATTTCTTCGAAGCGCTTCGCTGCAAGTATATTCCTTATATACAATAACTTCACCAATATTCTTGTACATTAAACAATCGTTATTCTTATGTACATAGAATACCAATATCTACGTCGATAGAGGAAAATACTAGTAGGTAATAGGTACAAGTCGTGTCTGTATGTGATTATTACAAACACAAATATGAGTGGGGCAAATAAATAAAATATATAAAAATATTTGTAGGTCTTATTAGAAGAGTTTGCTCGGTCTATTAAGACTTAGCAGTATTCCTGTCGCTTCTAGACATTACTGACCAAAAATTAATTAACGCCTAACAAGTTCTAACAATATTATTCAAATCTATGGAAATATTACAATACGTACAGAACCATATGACACTGCGATTATTCTTAGAGGCCTATTTTATATTAGCAGAGCCCAGCAGAGGCGTACTTCTTTAGATTAAACACACAATTTACTCGACTAACGACGACAACATGCGCTTCGCGGCTTGCACTAGACTGGGTGCTGGATCCAAACATTTATGTAACTAAACACGACCACATGATCAGCATACGCAAATTCAGTACACCAAACAGCACTAAATAACGTTGACATAATGATTGACAAGCATTGATTCTATCATAAATATGATTGGTAGCGAATCACAAATCATCATGGATATTTTTAACGATAATACATTTTTTTTATAATAAAGGACAAAAATCAAACAAATTAGTGAAACAGGGAGAATTAGGACTTAACATAGATCCGATATTTATTCCAACCTTTTGAAATAAAGTCCAATTAGATAAGAGGCGTAACGAAACTAAATTTAACTAGTATATCCTACTTTAAAAGTAGGAGCTTTCTTAAGTAGAACAAAATGTCTACTTCCTGCCCTACTTGAGTGCTATCGGTGATAAAACTAGGTTAGTCTTGCTTCAAACAGATTAATTGTTATTATTTCTTAATTATAATTGGTTTGGAAATAACAATTAAACAGCGAATGGAGGACAAATAACTGTAGAAATGTAGAGCTAGTCTTTCTTGAATTTGATCTATAAACACAAACTGTTTAAATATAAATATTTTTTCATATTTCAAGATGGAGAAACTCAACAAACTTTGCAATTAAATCTAGAATTTCAGTTTACAGCACCACTATTGCACCAAGGACGTTTGTAGTCAACGATCGGCACGACGTTGGCCGCTTACAAAATAGCTAAAATGAATTATAGTAGGTCAAAGACAAGTACACACTTTATACTGACACTGAACTTGCTACTGAACTCAATCTACGTCATTGAACTGTGAATAGTTTCATGAAATAGACAATATTAACGAAATAAACCCTACAATGGGAGGCAGTGTAATAAAGACTTTCATTTGTAATAATGCCAATAGGGTTTGGCTTTTATATTGCGCGAGTTCTGGTCGTAAAACCCATTAGTTCTGTTAATAAACATTAGGCAGTAAAGAGACAATATTTGCTATAAGAGTGCTAGATATTAACGGGAATTAATAAAGAACAATTTTACTAATGCTACACGCAATGTCGTTAGAACCTCAAGTCGAAGCGAAAGCTATTCAGGATGCGATATGAAATACGTCATTAACGTCACGAATGACAGTTGACATTATTTCAGCAGCTGTCAACATGTCACCATCATTTT